TAAAAAACCGCTTTTTAGGATTCAACAGCTCATAACTTTTGCAGAATTGCATGAATCATGTTGCAACTTCATAGGCTGGATTCTCCTCTTCAAGAGCTTTCAGAAGATATACAGGGCTTATTAAACGCAGTCTCGCTTGCATCAGCATCTCCAGTCTCGCTCTGAACTCTGCGTCTCTTCCGTGAACATGCTCTCTAATCACATCCAATCGATTGAGGCTCCGCCTTTTCAGCGCTCGCCCTGAGAAAGTGGGCAGAGAGCATGTGTGCGAAAGAGATGCAGAGTCCAGCGCGAGAGTGGAGATGCTGACGCAAGCGACTGATACACTAAGCCCTTTATGACATGTAAGGTTTCGCGCCTCTCACGACAGATGCCCGGGGTGGAGACTTTTCATCACAAAGTCTCCACTGGCGGCTTTCAGCCAATACATTAGCATGGGCGAGGTGAAAATTTTGGTATAAAAAGTCTCCACCTACGGCTAAGAAAAAATCTGACAGTGCAAACCTTACTCTATAAAACCTGTGAAGTCGCAACATTGCACACCTTCACATCCCAGATTTATAGGAGTCTAAACGTTAGCTGTCGATAAGCAACCTAAAATGACGTAACTTTCGAAAATTCTTGTTCTCGGCTGCCATTGCTCAAATCGACCTGATTTTTTTCACCGTCTGCTAGAACAATACTTGCCCTTCGAGACCTATGAAGTCGCATTTGCCAACATCTTCTCGCCAGTATATAACAGTGAAAATTTCGCATGATTTTACGGTATTTTATCATTCGAGATTCTGGTTTCTGGTTCTCTTGGTTCTGCCTAGATCCACCTACTACATAAATATATGCTCTCAATACTTTTTTGCGATGCTTTTGCTCATTTTCCTTCTTTTAACCTTCAGCAGGAACTTCTTTAGACCCAAAAGTGAAGGTAGGCGAAGACTCGGCTCCGACTATCGCACCTCTGGAGCCCTGGCGATCACACAAAATGGTAAAAAAAACTGATCTTGTATGGAAGTAACAATCATGCGCCGATATAACTGTATGAAAACCTTTATAAGCAAGATAGAGAATAAAGTGGAAAGATAGAGTAACGAGATATGACGCATCCTCACCTCCCCTCCTCAGCGGGGATGTACGTGCATACTGACCTATGTACAGTGCTGAACATTATTATAGGGACACTCTAGAAATCGTCGTAATTTTCATTCTTGTCACTGAATCTGTCTGAAACTTTGCTGTATGGTGCGCATGTAAGCCTACCATAACTCCTCAGAACGGCTTCCAATCCCGTTGATTTCGAACGGAAAAAAATGGAAAAATTCGAAAAAGCTTGTTTTGCAGGCTGGACATAATTATAAGGACACCTGGCCTTTTTAAGCATTATCGCATTCCTTGACTCCCAAATTTTTTTGTAGAGTTACATCCCAGAATATGAAACTTTTGCAGCACCTAGGACCTGTCATGCTACTCAAGAAAAGATGATCCTTGCGAGCGCTTTCGTAAACTCTGCGTAATCGCTGATTTTGACGGACAGACTTCAACCTCACCATAGGGTTGTCGCGCTTTTGCACCACAAAACTCACTTTCCAACGGTCGTGAAGTGATGGACTCGATTCATTACATTGTCTACGTGGAGATGCATCTTCTGCAACAACTTTTAGATTTTTTCTAGTGCTGCAGTTGCCATTTAGATCTGAAATACTTCCAACGAAAATTCTATGCGAGCAGTAGATTCAACATAATCACAAATCTCACTATTTTATTCTCTGTTTCATGTCGCATTTTGCGCGGTAGCTGAGATTAGCAAGATTTTGAAGTTTCAAGCGGTCTCCTGTTCGATTTCTTGATTTGAGTTGGATATGATTGTGCAAAGTGCTCGACTCAACTCTCAACGGATGACAACTGCGGCTGAACCAGAATGTGCAACCCCGAAGTTTTTTCCTGACTAGGCACACAAGTTTATTGTTGTACGTGTATTGTTGCGGCTACATTGCAGCGTTTTCTGTAACTTGGAAAGTTTTGTGGTGCAAAAGCGCGACAACCCTATGGTGAGGTTGAAGTCTGTTCGTCAAAATCAGCGATTACGCAGAGTTTACGAAAGCGCTCTTCACCTCATCTATCCAGAAAGGTCAGTAGACTCCATGATTATCATTTGAAATGAACAAGGGCTTGAAAACTCTTCAAACCGGTTGTTTACTGAAGCAGTTTGACTTCTGATGCCTTTGGAAACGAAAAATGCAAGGATCATCTTTCCTTGAGTAGCATGACAGGCCCTAGGTGCTGCAAAAGTTTCATATTCTGGGATTAGGCTTACATGCGCACCATACAGCAAAGTTTCAGACAGATTCACTGACAAGAATGAAAATTACGACGATTTCTAGAGTGTCCCCATAATTATGTCCAGCACTGTATTAGGTTGCTGCAAAACTGAACGTTTTGTGAGTTATCACTTTGAGGTATCATCACTTTTTTAAGAAATCATATTTTTCGATGCCATAAAAACCATCAGAAGCAGCAATCCTTTTGCAATACAGCTCACATCCACCTATACTCATGTCACGAACGGGCACAAAAATAGAATTAAAAAATAAAAGTATTTTTCTGAAGCTTCATTTTCGACAAACCAAAACTCTCTTTAAAATTTGTTAGTATAGGTGATGAGAGCCTACCTTGTAGTCGCAAGCCAATAGTACAAAAGAAGATAGGAAGGGCTTGGATGATAATGCTTGCGAAAAGAAAAAATGGTCACCTTTTCCAATATTTTTTATAAGCCACAAACCCCAACTTACGACGTCTTTTGATTTTTTTTTGATCTTGCGTACTGAACAGCTGAACATTTTTGCAAAAAAAAAACTGCCAACAGTAGGGTCACTTTTACGTTTACAAAAATGAGCAAAGTCTGGCAATTGCTTTCTCCAATAGAAATCCATGGGCCACAGAATGACCGCAATTATCCATGTTCAGGCCTTGTAATCTCAGCTTAGATGATTCCAAGAAATACGGTTAAACTGCATAATGTATGCAATTTTGAAGTAACTGAATTTTTGAGTTTGAACATTTGCGCATAAATTCTGGCCAGAAAAGTGAACGCGATGAAGTTTTGATTTTTGCGGTTATGTGAAGCTTCTTAAATTCTTAACAAATGAGGCTAGAAGCCTGCCTCCACCACTATATAGAGCCTAAAAGCTCTTCTTCATAGTGTGCTGATTTGGTTTCAGACAGGAAAGCTTGATCGAAGAAAGCAAGCAAAGCAGGGCTTAAAACGCTCATTGCTTTTGCATTAACCTAATATTTGTGAACCAAAAATACAGATTTCAGCCATGTCAACAATAATCTGTTATCTAATCTGTTATCAACATCTAATGCGCGCGACGGGTGGCCATTACAAATCCATTAAGGAAAAAGGGACTGAGCACAAGACAGATTCCAAGAATCATTACTATATAAGAGTGAATTCAAATAACAGCCATACTACTTATGAGCCGGTCTAATACTATCACATCAACATACATGATACTGGAGTTATATCATCTGAAATTTGCTTTTAATGAAACCATCTTTGCTAACTAAGACCATACATACGTCAGAGGTAGTCACTCATATTTTATCCCACAAGGGAAGGAGCGTTGGTCGAAGTGGCCTTCCAAGATGAGATATATACTATCTTGTAGAGCTTTGAACGCCGATTCCAAATCTGTCTTAGCTATCTGCTGTCGGCTTCTGAGTTTTTGTGAATAAAAATTTGAATGCAAAATTGGTATAAAATCAGTCTATTTTCCTAACGTTTGAATGAGGTAGCAGCGAGTTGGCCTATTTGAATCAAGAATATTTGTTGCACCGAGTGACCCGACTACCAGCTACATCCCAGAAAAATTGTTACGGCTGACTTTATGCTAATTTTGCATTTGAATTCTTACCCACAAAAGCCTACATAACTCCTCGCCCAGAAGCCGTCAGCAGATAGCAAAGGCAGATTTGGAATCAGCGTTCAAGGCCCTACAAAACAGTGTACATCTGATCCCAAAAGGCCAAAAGGCCACTTCGACGAACCTTCCTTCAATCCAACTGCTGAACAATCCAACTGCTGACGCAGTCACGGGCAACAAATTCGTCACACCATCTCTTCGGTGGTCTTCCGCGTGGAGGATTTTGGAATCCATTCTATCGTTCTTTTTGTCCATCTGTCGACTTCTCTTCTCAGTGCATGACCCATCTGTGCTTATTCTTCGATACGTACTCTGCTGGATCTTCTAGAAGCGATAGTTGTCCAAGGTCGGAGCTCCAAATTCCAAGTCAATACTGTCTGAACTTGGTCATCTTCAGAAGTTTCTTTTCGAGTGCCCTATGTGCCGTTCATAGTGCCTTCACGGTTGCTGAGGTATCAGCCCAGGTTTCGGCTGCGTAACGCAAGGCCGAGAGAACTGTCGCTCAAAAAAAATAAGCGCGCAGTTCCGGATCAGCAAAGGTTTGTCTGGAGCTTCTCTCAGAAGACCAAATGCTGCCCAAGCTGCTCTCTGTCTTCGGCTATGTTCATCCTTTATGTAGTTGTTCATATTAATGGCGCGTCCAAGGTAAACGTAAGATAAAGTCTCTTCTATCGGCGCTCCATCTAAGAATAATTGACCTTTACTGCACCAGGGCCCGTAGTAATCCACCCTACCTGCCGGCATGTCTTGCCGGCAGGTCGCCCTGATCTCGATCTGAGGTCGCCAGAATTTCCAACTTTTTCCTACGTAGACTCGCAAGCCAGACAAATCACCTTTTTCTGCTGTGATACTTTAGTTTTTTATCAAATTAGTATGGGGATTGAAAAAAAAATTCAAGAAATATCCTCATTTGCCTTTTATTAGGCGCGAAGTGTGAACCTGCCGGCAGGTTCGCGATCCATTTTTGTCGAAAATCGAGATGCCATCTCGCCCTCAGCCTGCCGGCATGTTCATAACATGCTGTGATTTTTTCCCGCATCTTTTAACGATTTCTTTATTTTTATTATCTTTTCTTTGTAGATGAGGCATATTTACAACCCCATAATAGGTGATAGATATGAAAAATCGCTGGTATGATTACTGTTTCGATTCTGTTATCATAAAACATTGCTGGTATGATTATTCCGTTTCTGTTGAAGAGAAAACAAGCGTTGCTCGCTTTTTCATTTTTAAAGGCTTTCATTTCACTTGCATGTATTTTTATAGGTGAGCAGACAAGTGGCTATCGTATACCGTCGATCATTATCTCAAGAGACCTCATTAGGTCCTTTGTGCCGTCGCGGATTCGGCAGTGACAAGGTACTTTTTCAAGTTTTGTACTTTGGTGAACCTACTGTGTTAAGCACAAGTCACTTTATTTGAGGGTATATTTTTTTATTGTGAAGGTCTGTAACACACCCACCTACTCATATATAAGTTTCTGAAAAGTTAACGTGATGCCGAGTACTTACGATCTGTTTATCGTTGGGCCGAAAAAGCTCAAAAAAGCCCGAAAGCCCCAGAAAGAGTCTGAACGCCGCCTCCGTTTTGACGCTAAGGCATGTGTGTTGATTTTGCAACCAAGTCTTTTCGTTTCATTTTCTGTCGTCTGCACATTAAAGTAATGTCAGAATGTTCGTTTCTGCGTTCCGGAGTTGGAGCATGATATCTTTTCTGCTTTTCTGCAAACATATTCGTACTGTTTACCGGTTTTCGTTTCTTAGGATAAGCGGAGCTTTGAGTCATGTTGAACGTGGCTCGGAGTGTTAGGCACGCCTTGAATTTTTTTGGTATCCCCCAAAACTTTTGCTGTCCATAATCCCAACGTTTTAAAAAAAGATGTGGCGCGCAAGAGGTTTTTCACCCACAACTTTTTAGGACTTTGTCTATGCTAGAAAGAAAAACACGGCAGTTGCGAGCGGTGCAGCAACAGTGCAGCGCTTTGCGGCCGCGCAGGCTTCATGAGCGATCAAGAGGTGCTCACGGCACCCGTAATGGTTTTCGCAATGATCGAGAGCTTTTCGAGGCAAGTTATAAAGCAATTTTATGTTTTGTAATAATAGCCACCATTTTTGTTGCTGCCTGCACGCCCTTTTATGATTGATTATCCTTCAAATTCTTCTTTTATTGCATGGCGTTTACAGAAATAATAAGCAGAAAAATCATGAATGGGTCGTTCTTTGCACGTCATATTTTCATATTTGAAGCAGATCTCATCACATGTGATAAAATATCACTTAAGCTGCTGGCTGTAGGTGTTGGATCTAGAATGTGCAGCATCTACTTTTATTGAAGTCTTGATTGCCTCTAGATTGTTTCGGTGTAGAACGACTGCATTTTACCGTTATTGGACATACCTTCTCATTATAAACCCGTTTCATTTATTGAAGTTGTCAGTCAATTCTGTTTCGATGAAGTCGAGAATCAATTTCTAGGATCAACATTATGTTTCCATGTTTGATTCTCACTACACAAATACGATTTTCAGTCCCACTGCTTGGTGCACAGATTAGCTTGGAGTTTTTCTAACGTCGACCACGTCCATGGCCACTAACAACGGAATCTGTAGCATGGGAGCGATGGATATTACTTTTGGACATTTTTAAGGCTAATTCTTATGGTGAGCTAATTGCTTGCACGCCATTGGCCATATCTTTTACAAAACGTGGCATCATTGGTTGTCCTAGTTGGTCTTGGTTTAGTTGTCCATGGCAATTGTTGAGCTATATGAAAGCTTTCATGTTTTTTGTGCTTTCCGTTTTGATCGTGAATTCTGTCTAATATTCTATTGCTCACGCACACATTTCAGATGATCATGCACGGATGCGAGTATCCGTAGCCGAAAGCGTCGGCGAAATTGTTCTTCAAGTGTGTAGTTCCATAAATCGGCAACAGTATCTACCCAAGATGCCGACAAGGACGGAGCTCTCAAATGTTTTCGACTCAAATCTTCCGGATTGTCAACCGTATCTCTTCAAAGTCTGTCGCAATCCGATTAGACCAGGTACGCAGCTACTTATTATCTTTCTAAAAAGTTTTTTTTTCTCGCTTATTCTGACATTAATCGACAAAGTTCGGTGAGAATGTAGGTTTCATAGTAGGACTTTCTATTTTTTAACAGAACTAATAGTCTAAAACGACGCAGTGCATCAAGTTGAAATAGCTTCACCTTTTCAATTTCGGCCGAATAATATGAAGCAGTGGGATTTTTTTCTGTTACTTTGCACATTCACTAATTTTGGAATACATTTTGTCACCATTCCTTCAAACATACAATATGGCACTACAAATCGATAGCTTGACCAGTAGAGTGTTTTGCTTTGATAAACATCATTTCAGAGAGTACCACAAAGACGGGCTGTGATGGAATGCTGCGGTATATACGCAACCTTATGATAAACTAATAATTTGCATAAGTCAATATTGTTTTACAACTTACGTATTTTAGTGTCTTTGTCGAGGGGTATACATGTCGCTATCATTTAACAAAGACTGCCACTGATCTGTATCAAGCTCCCGGTTTAAGACCTTGTCTTTCCGCATTTGCGGGTCCACTTATTGTGAAGTCGTTTACGATCCAGTTTTAGGTTTTTGTTTTGCTGTTATTGAAGTCGGACAAGTCATCTGATTTCGATCTTCTTGCATTTTGATCAGCCTATCATCTTTGAGATTGCTGATTCGCAAGTTTTAGCTATGGAGCTCTGCTATGTTGTCAGTCGCATTATCTCAATTTGATAAGCTGTTATTCCTTAGTGTACATTGTTTCAATTTCATATTAGTTCAAGGTTCATCGTCACTTTTTGTTTGCCTTCACCATTTCCATGTAAATACATGTGCATAGTTTCTGGTTGTTCGTGTGCAAACCCCATTTTTTTCATTTTGTTCATAAATTACTTCGCTGTGCTTGCAGGCTTGTTCCCGGGAACGGTGATTGGATGGGCGTGCATGAATGAGCAGGCATTGCCGGAGGGGTGGTGTCGAACTTGGGGTCCTTATAGGGAAAGGCCATAGGTCGTCGATGTTGTCGGTGTTGTCGATGTTGTCGGTGTTGTCGGTGTTGTCGGCGTTGTCGGTGTTCGGGGTTGCCGGTCGTTGTAGGACCTCATGATAGCCTCCACGTTTCGCGCGCTCTCTAAACTGTCTCTGACCCCGACAACCCCGACAACACCGACAACACCGACAACACCGACAACATCGACAACATCGACAACACCGACAACACCGACAACCTATGGCTGTTCCCATACTGATGTACGATGTTACCGACGAATCTACTCGACTTTCTAGGCTATCTCTTCGAAATTCTTCGCAGCGATGCCCAAGAAGTTGCAATGATTTCCTTCTCGCGGATAGGTGAACGAAAGCGGCTAGTTTGAGGCGCCTTTCGCGGCCAACTGGTCCTTATGCAGTATCGTTGCATGTCGTTTGAGGATTAGCAGCCCGCGGGGGCGGCCCAAACTGGCGGCTCTCGTTACCCTACCCTCTTCTCGCAAGTTTTGGGGGGGGGGGGGGGGGGGAAGGGGCATCTAGGAAGGGGTATTACCTAGGCATATTTTTCGGAAGCGTTTGAGCTGTTTTTGGGCTCGTTGCCCAAAGCAGCCGTACTAAGGGGATCAGTATAGACTAACCCATATCTAAAGTCGCATGGAACCGTATTTATCACTGCACTACCTTATTGTTGATTGATACGCTTAGTAAACCATGCCTTGGGCTGGTTAGAATCTTCTCGGTCATTGAACTCCTTTTCAAGCCTTCCCACAATTTCAGGCTTATACATCTGAGACACATATGACTATATGCGCAGCTTCTTTACTGGATTGTTAACATCCTGTTCGCTCACTCAAATGCTTGACTCCGAGTTGTTTGTCCTTTCCTTGCCTTAAATATACTTGGTGCGTGTACGCGCAGCTCGTACCAACAGGAATTAGTGCAAAATTGGCTTGACTATGTTGGGTTGCTTTGAATATCTCACTTGAATGTTATGCGTAAACCACACGGGCGAGGATTGTTTTAGACTGATCAGATTGTAGGTGCGCGCTGGCCTGACGCCACTGTCATGATCTAGGACCAGCGGAACTTGTTACGAGCTATCTATGTTCAGTTTGCTTAGTTTCGATAAAGAAGGCTCTCACGAAAAAAAAAACGCTCCTACACGAATGGCTAGCTCAGCGGTGAACATGTACCTATCTGTGATGAACATGTTAACGCGAAGGTGACTGGTGAACTTGATCAACCTTTCTGGAATGGATCGTAATGTACACGTGTAGTTCAGTGCTTAACGTGCTGACTATCGTTGGCGAGAAGAGAGTTCCATCCCGGCAGGTGCAATGGTTTTGCGATCGACCTTACATTGCACAGTGACCTGTTATATCGGGAGGCTCTAGGAGCTCGCTAACCTCGCGCCCCAAAAACGAGCTTGTCGTGAGGTTCGCGAGCTTGCCGTCATGTCTTATGCCAACATGCGGGGTAGATTACTACGGGCCCTTTCGATTTAACCTGATTCCAATCCTTCTCTCGCTTTCGTTCAATTCGTTCAGCATCTCTTCGGCTTCGCTAATAGACTTCGAGAACAAAACGATATCGTCTGATTCGAAAGGTACCTCCCATCCACGCAAATTTCGTTTCCCAATCGAGCGACTGCATGCAACATTGCAGTACCGCGGCAAACAATTTTGCGACAAGTGTCGCCTTGTCGGACTCCTTTCTCGATACGAATGTGGAGCGGGTGGTCAAACAGCTGTATCATGCTGGTACATTCTTTGTTGCAGTCCGCTATAGTCCTTATGTATGTTGGGTCCACGCCTTGGTCGATCAGAGCAGTTGATACGGCGTTGATTTCCACACTATCGAAGGCCGTTTCGTAATCGACGAAGGTGAGGAGTAGGGTAAGTTGGTATTCACGGCAGACTGACTACCCATGAGACGGTTTGGATGTGATCGACACAGCTGACCTCTCTTCCGCCCTTCTTGTGAAGAAGAATAGTGCAAAATGTCTTCCACTGGTTGGGTATTCTTTTCTTTTCCAGTGGCCGTATTCATCAACGAACCCTGAGGATCTGAAAAGCAATTAACCCGTATTCATGAAACACGGGGTAAGCTTAACCCTGAGAGTTAAATCTACCCTTGAGGGTAAACCTTACCCCGAAAGCTATTAACCCGTATTCATCAACGAATCCTGAGGATTAAACTAACCCTGAAGGGTAAAACTTACGTAATTCATCAGGATTAATTTAACCCTAGCTTAGAGCAAGGTTAACTCTACCCTGAGACTTCATACAGACATTTACTAGCATCTAATAGGTTTATGAAAAACGATCAACGAGTATTGTAGTATTCAGTATTAGATTGTTGTTATGGTAATTTGTTTCGACTTCGTTTTGTGTTCAAAATTCGAAGTACATGAAACACTGAGTTCGCGAGAAAAAGAATTCTAGCTTTGGTGACAAATAAATGCGACGAGGAAAAATGGTTGCGCATTCCACTCTGACAAGTGCCAAAACAGAAGAACCACTTTATGATAACACGCATTGACCCCTAAAAGAGTAGCACAAGCCCGGTATTAAACGAACTGCGCAAAAGTAGAACTTACACGGCACAACTGCACACATGAAAATAAATTCACACTGTAAGATTGGTTGCTGCACAAATATGCTAGAGATGTATTATAAAAACTAATGTTAGAAGCTTATTCGTTGATTATACTACTATAACAGTGAAAGAATAGAAGTATAGAGTGAATTTAGCACGTTCTTAGGCATTCTGTGATGTGAGTTTGCACAGCGCACGCGTAACTGACGCCTTTATCCCCAGGATTAGTTCAATTCTCAGGGTTCATTGGCCGTATTCATCAATCATAGGGTTCGTTGATGAATACGGCCACAGGTTCGTTGATCGATATGGGTGGATTGCGTTCGGTGGCAAACCCTACCCTATGGTTGATGAATACGGCCAATGAACCCTAAGGGTTAAATTAACCCTGGGGGTAAATTTATCCCTCAGGGTTCGTTGATGAATACGGCCACAGATAGCGTGTCATATGAGTTGCCAGTAGTGTGTGTAACTTGTGTCCGCCTGCTCTGAGTAAGTTCCGCCTGCTCACAGCCCCTGGTCCTGGCGGTGACTCCGCCAGGACCAGGGGCTGTGCCTGACTTCATGCGCTCTATGACCGAACGTACTTCCAGGAAGAATACTCTGTGGCTGCTCATCGGTGGGGATGATAGGGTTTGGTACCGGCGTCGTGGATCCAAAAAGCTCGTTGTAGAAGTCATTTGTTATCGCTTCCATTTCGCTCGGGAGTTCACTAATCTTCCGTCCTTATTCAGTAGAGCTTGCATCGATATCTCGTGCTCGCGAAGGTCCCTTCGAAACCTCTTCAGATTTTTCCTGTTTTGTGCTGCTTTCAATATCTTCATTTGTCGATATCGCTTCAAATCCCCTTGTACGGATTTCCTGCAAATGCCGTTTACCGTGCTTGCTCGAGATCGATACACTTAGATCTGCGTGCAGGATTCTCCTTTTCTGAAGAAGCTCCTTCATGTTGTTCGTCAATCGTCCCGAGCCTCTTTCAACAGTAAGAATTGTCTGCTCTGCACACTGCGTAGTCCTTTAATCAGCTTTTCTGGATCTTCTGTCGTAGAATTCACAAAAGTGTTCATTTGAAACTCTTCCCTAGCCTTGCTGAATGCGAGAGCAGACCATTGTGAACGGTAAATTTTCGTGGAAAACGGGATTTCAAGGTCCAACACATATAATTTCGCGGGCGCAAAAGTTTTCCGACTTGTACGATTGCCTAGTGACAGCTGCTCAGTTTTTACGGGAGCACGACTTGAAAGACGTCGATAATCCCAATAAAATTAGATTTTTTTTATGAAAAAAATCACTGAACTTAAAATCTACACAGCTGCATGAGTTCCTTCTTTATTTTCCTAATACCTTGCATTTCTCTGCGTGTAAAAGTAACTCATAAAAATCCGATTCAATATAAAGACATTAGTAACATTGACAAAATATTGAGAAGAAAATTATAGGTTTGAGGTAGGTTACGTATGCATGAAAAATTGCAGCTAAACCGCATTAATCTACCTCTAAAGCATGAGAAAGATCAGCCGGAGGGCTTCTGCGCAGCTAATAAAAAGAAAGTGATCAGAATGCTTACGAGATCAATCACGAGATCAATACCACATTGTTTGACACATGTCGCAACAAAAAACTAGTCACGTGCCAATTTACCAAAATTCATGGTGATATATAACGGCACCTAAATTTGAATCAAGTGCAAAAAATTTGAGACAATATGGAAGCTCACCTCAACCAGTGCTAGTGTAAAAGTCGCAAGAGATGATGTCAAGCCAACCACAAATAAAACTCTGTGTACTTTGGTGCAACAACATCTATTT